AGGGCAATATATGCAGAGCCATATCCATAGAAACAATTCCGAATTCATCTTTCACTATACCAGTTTCAGTATTGTTGCTGATGATTTGATATACTGCAAATCAGCATTGCTTTATTAAATAAGCTCAGATTTTCTACTGTATTGATAAATGAATATGAGAGTAAACAGGTGAAAAAAGATTACCCAGATAATAGTCACAATGATACAAATTTTAAAATGCCATATTATGGTAGTAATAGAAAAATCCTTTTATACATCAACGACTGTGCAGCTCTCACAGCAATGTAAGAAAACAGATAGGTACAGATGCCTCTAGGTTTTCATAGCTGGGTGAATCCTACTCTAAGCCATAGTGAATCTAATCTAGGTATCGATCATTTTAAAAGAATTGGGCTGTGTGCAAAAGTCATTGTTCTACATTCTGATCTTGGTTTGTCTTAAATGGAAACATTTGAGATGCATGTGTACTGTAGACTCTGTTCTTATTTAGATTTTGAAGATAATTTCATTTACTTAAATTTTTACATGCTTTGCAAGTTTGCACTCTCCTCACTAGAGAGATGTTTTCCCTCAAAACACAAATGCTAGAATCGCTCTCTAGATTCCCCTTAAGGTGCCCATACACTTTACAACCCTCGCAAGACTTTAGTCTTGCGAGGGTTGTAAAGTAGTTAAAAATACGTAAAATCTGCCCATCTTGGGCAGGCAGATCGTACCTGCGATAATCGCAAGCCCGCCCCCCTGGGGGGCGGGCTTCCGATGACTGCAATGCTGAACGGGCAGTGTTCGCGTGCGCACACCGGCCGGTTCGGCAGTTGTCTCTCGATCATGTTAAAAACCAGCCGAAAATCGTACGATTCAAAAGTCATGCGACCGTACAGTAGGAACAGTCGCATGCCTTCCATGCACTGCACTATTCTCGTACGATCGCAGATTTCCCGCGGTTCTCGTACGAGAATCGTGCAGTGTATGGGCGCCTTTAGTTTCAGTTCCAATTACTACACAGACGGTTAGATAATCTCTCCGCATGAAGTTATGGACAACAATAAAAATCTGACAAATTATGTAACCCTTCTCTATTGTATCTAAAATTAATAAACAAAACGTTTTGTCTATAGCTGGGCTTTAGGAGAAATTTAGAGGTAAAACAATTTATCCAGTATACCCTGTGACAGTAGTAATGTGAGAAAGTCCACAATTACTTTGATCCGGATTCAGAACTTTTTCCATATAAACTGGTTGGTCTGCTTTCTGGAACCTTTACAGCGTAACTTCCTCCCTCTTCTTGCTGCATCACCACTTAGTACCCAAATTCCAAGGCAGGTTTGATTGATAAGTCTGATAAATGTCTGTCTAATAAACGTCTTTGTGCTGACACTTTAATACATCAGCATTTCTATAAGTAGGAGGAAGCCTGCAGTATTTTTGCTGAGAATATCCCACCTGCATTAAAAACTGGTAAGCAAAAGGGAACAACTGACCAGACAATTAAACAAAAAAAAAGTGGGGTGAACTGACGCACTACAGAGATTCCAAGATGAACAATTGAAGCCTTGTGCGGGTAGCCTACGTACCCTGTATGGATTTCTAGGCTTGGATTTCAGTTTTGAGTGTAGTGTACCCTTTGAAGCCCAAATCCAGCTGGTAACCCTTACCCTAGTTCCAGGAGAATTTTAGCAGGTCACTTACTCCATCATCCTTCTGTAAGCCCAGCCTGAATGATGATGCACCCCCAGAAGGTGTATACATAAGGATAGACGTAATTCTACCCCAGAAGAGCAGCAGTGCATCCGCAGAGGTCAACTCTCGGTCAAAGCTGTCATTCTTTTGTTGGCAGAAGTTGAGCTTTAAAAAAGGTAGGTTCATCTTTCACCAAAAAAATAAAAGGGAAATGCACAACATTCTTCCCTCACCCTGTCTCGTCCCCTGATCCCCACTTATTGCCATAAATACCATCTCTCACCACCCAGCTGGTGTATCAGTACTTTAAAACTTTATTGAACATCCCTGAGGACTGCATACTGCTTGCAATGGTGATCAGTCATTGATAAGCATAGCCACATGACCTTACTGACCAATGAGAATCTCTTCTGAGCCTTCTTTCTTGGAAGAGAAGGTTGTCATTTAACATTTAAATTTTTTGTAAAAAGGTGAACTTATCCTTTAGGGAACAGTAGTTGTATTCCTTTTATAAACCTTATACTTTGCAGGTGATTTTTGGAGCACCGGTTACCATGGGAACATTTTTTTCTTTTACTCGAATTAAAATATCACATTAAAAACTAATAGAAAATGTTCATCTGGGAAATGCTAGTGAGTAAAGTAAATAAGGCTGGGAGAAGCATACTAATAATTCTGCAGGATTGACATCTGAGTGCTTATTCACACCACTGTGTAGTGTACGGTTACTGCACAGTATAGAAAATGTTATAGTAAGGTGGCCCAATTATGTTAATGGGCTGCCTAACAGACAAAAAAAGTGCATGTAGCATGTGTGGTAGCAAACAGATGTTGGTGCATCTGCATAGCCCTGACACCGCAAGGTGAGCCTAATAGCATGGCCCTGACTCCGCAAGGTGAGCCTAATAGCATGGCCCTGACCCCGCAAGGTGAGCCTAATAGCATGGCCCTGACCCCGCAAGGTGGGCCTAATAGCATGGCCATGGCACTGCAAGGTTACTAATGCAAAGTAACAAATAATTTTGCTCGTCAGCATCATCTAGTGGCCATAACATGTTTGCTGTTTGAATGGTTTATAAATAACCCCCTTGGTGTGTCACATGATCTATTGCATTCCTTGCTTCTCTACACCTTCCAGCTGCTGCTGCAAAAAAAAACCAAAACAGAATTACATAAATACATAACATCCTGCTAATTTCTGTGAAACATACATGAAAAGCCATGCACAGATCAGGCCCACCTTTTGTCCAATGTGCCTTTGCTGCATGTAGGATGTAGATATTTCCATTCATTGTGCACTGGAAAAGCAGGTGTAAAAGAAGAGTTTGGGGAAATGCTTTACACAGGCCTCTTACACTAATGAATGATGGCACCTAAAATCTTTTAGTGGGACTTGCCTTCAAAGCCCATAGACTTCAATAGAAACGCCTGAAAACACATGACAAGCAGTTTGCAGATTTCTGTGCACATTTTTGTGCGCATTTATTCATTGACCACAATGTCTTTCAATATGCCCACTATATACCCACTATAACGTGAGTCTTAATGTGCGCGCATCTAATACTTGCAAAAGATGAGCAAAAAACATGCTAAACTCGTTAGACAAAAACGTGTGCCAATATGTGCAAAAACGCTGCCGCCTAGGTGTGAATGCATCCTTAGAGAGGAGGCCAATGAATAAGGAAACCATTAATCTATTCCTAGACTTAATGAGGATTAAACTGTCACATTGGGGAGATTTCCCTTCAACAAAAAAAAAAAGTTTTGGCTTGAAGTACATTTTCCCTAAGAAAAATATGGGAGCTGCCATTGCTGAAAATGCTAGCTGCCTTGTTGATCCCCCGATTTGAATACATTGTGTGCCACAGACCTGGAACAAGTCTACATATCAGGAAATTCAGAAACATCTTCCTTTTTTTTGTTCTTTTTTTACATGTTCTGACTTGGTGACAAACTATTGAGTCAGGATGATAGCAAGGAAGCTAGTACAGTAATATCAAAACATAAGTCGGCAATCGCAATCTCCATGTTTCCCTCAGGTTTCCTTTAAGGTACCCTTTACTTTTAAATGAAAACACAGAGTTAGTGCAAGTTGAAAAAACACTAACAAAACTAAATAAAAATTTGTAACCCATTTCTTTCTCAACAATGTATAATTAATAAATCTAACTCCTACTAGAGCTAAAGTCCCCAAGTTCCATAAGAGGTCATGAGATCAGTACATGTGTAAATTTAAAACTTTCCCTTAAAAAGGTGAGCTTGACCCGTTCTATCCCAAGCAGAGGCACAGCAACAACAAACTGTGCCGCTGGCATCCCGCCTGCTCCTGGCAACCAATTATGTCACTGCTTGCCAGGAGCAGGATGGGACACCGACCAGATTGTCCAAGGTTGCTAAGAGCTTGGCAGGGAGATGTGGAAGGGCCATCAACATCTCCCCTCCCAGCTCTTAGCAAACTGGGATGCTGTGGCCAGCATCCTACCTGCATACACATCATCCTGCCCACTCTGGTTGCGGGCCTTACACATCTCCCCCTCTGGCTCATAGCAACCCGGGACACTCTGGCCGGTGTCACACCCATCTACTGGCAACTGGTTGGGTCGCAGGCCAGAGCATCCCAGGTTGCTATGAGCCAAGTGGGGAGAAAAAAAAAAAGTCAGCTGTCTCCAAGGGTCAGCAAACGGTCACTGATCCATGGAGTGGCATCCCCCCCTTTCAAGTGGTGCCCAGGGCATGTGCCATATGTGTCATACCCTAGATATGCCACTGATCCCAAGCTTTTTGTTCTCACCAGCAAGCCTGCCTATCACATTGAAGGACAGAGAGATGCAGAGAAGGCAAGAGGACAGAGGCAAGGTCAGGCTTAACCTAATAGGAAAAGCATAGAAGTTCAGTTGCAGTTCTCACTAATGGTAAACTCTGTAACACAGTTTTTCCCCCCATCATAAGTTCAGTTTAAATTGTCCACGTTTATAACAGGTCAATTTTAATAACCTTTTTGTAGATTATTCTATTTTCTTGCACTTAAGAGAAACCCCAGTTTGTCTCAAACATTTTATTTTGTTGTCAATTACAACATAAACATCATAAGAGAACCATGAGGCAGAATTTGTCATATATTTGAACTAACAGCCCTGTGAACATTGACTTGGAATCTTTGAGGTCTGTGTATGTAGACGTTCTCAGCCATGGCTTGTTACACATGAACTGTAACAGGATATTAATTTACCAAACAATACATCCTTTATTACAGTATAAAAAGGGAAATTATAGGTCTAACACTGGCATTTCTAATGTATAAGGCATTTTGTGGTGACCCATCATGCCACCGATTTTACTAGGACAAAATCGCACTGCCACGAGAATCTCAACCTGCAAAGAAAAAAATGTGAGTTTACCTGCCCCATGTGTGAGGTCTGAGGAGTGAGGGGGAAAACAAAATTAAATTAAGTGAACCCTGCCATTGCACAGCAGGCACCATAAGCTCTTATCTCTGCCTGACTTCCTACAAAATCCTTTGCAAGTTTTGACATTCTCAAAAAGTCCAAATTTGCACACAGGTAAGTGAGCGTCTCCTCTCCCCGTGTGACAGCAGCCTGGCCTAGCAATAAGTTGCTCAGGCACACAGCACTCCATGGTGGGAGGCTGTGCATGGGTGACCATGGCAAGAAAGTACTAGGAATTTACGGGGGTGCTTCTGCCATTGACCCTAAGGTAGGAGGAAAAGAAGGCGCTTTATGGCCTACTATGCATTGGTAGGTATACTTTTTTCTCCAACATGTTGCCTGCATATCATGGCAGCAGTTATTTTGTGTATCTTACCCATTATCAAACTAATATTTACCAGTGGCATCACTAACGCATAATTGGCATAGTATATTACTTGGGCTACTTCTAACCACAGTTTTAGACATCAAAACAGCTGCCCAGCTTCTAAAAAGGCACCTGCTACATATTCACTAATATAAAGGAGAAGCAGGCAACATGCCCAACTAGTGACTTTAAAATTCTCATGGAAGCAATTAAATCCCCATCATAAAAGGGACTGAATATCTTATGTCCACTGAAAACTGATAACCCTCTTTTACCCAGATGACACTGAATTAAATGACTTCTAGCGCTTTTAACACTTGAGGACAATAGTGGGAAACTTTTATGAGGTCTAGGCTCTACCCCCTGGTTGTGAATTTTCCATGCTTTACGTTGAGTAATATGGTATTTGATCACATGCCCCCAGCTGGATATTTTAGATCAATATATTGAGAACAAAGAATAGGCTTCAAAGCCAAATTGCTCAACTACAGGGGCAAAAATGACACGGGGTCCCCAAATGTTATTAGGCCTATACAGACTTGTGTGTTGTGGAAACATGCGCTGTACCAATCTTACCGCAACTCATGGCACAATGCACCATGCATTGTGGCGACATAGTATAAAATGCCATGCCAATGCACAGAATGAGTTGCCGGCAACACAGCCGAGCTGCAACACACCACAACACACCTGCCCTGCTGCTGAGAAAAAGGGGTGGTGTACATTTTTTTTATTGACGTACGTGGGCAGGCCAGTTATGTGCAGACTTACATTTTTTAAAAGTCAAATCCTGAAGTCAATGGAAGTTCTTCTTTAAAGAAAACTACCCCTCTTATATAGCTAGTAAAGTATTCCTGTATATGAATACAACATGAAAAACTTTTCCACAAACAACCACGGCAGTAAAAGTTACTTTGTCTTTTTTTGCCACTATATTCTATACAGTATCTTTAATAAATATTATCTGCATTTTACTAAATATATAACTCTTATTTATAGCTTCTAAAGATTAATTTGTTCTTGCAGTTAAACTGTGTATAAACTTCGAGTGACCCTGTCATTTTACAGCAATATCTTGCTAGTGAAAATATTGCAGCGCATCCATTACAGACTCTGCCTAATCCAATGTGTCATAGGACTTATTGCAAGGCTTGCAGAGCACTGTTTGAATCTGTACAACTGGTAAGCTTTCTTGTGTGCTTTTTCTTATTGCATTTCCTAGAAGTGGGACTGGAGGACAGACTAGACTATTCTTGCCACACTGCAATCCAAATTTGTATACATCTTCCCTGCTGTAACATATAAATGATTATTATACGCAACCACACATTTGTTGTTTTAGTGTCAATCTATCAAATTTTATATTTTTTGTCCGATGCCTGGTATTTCAATGGCTCTGATTTTGTAGAAACAGTAAAAAATGGCTTTGAAATTTTAGGCCACTACTGGTTGCCAAAACAGACTAAACTGAAGGATACCAGCATAATTTGTGCAAATCATCAATTTTTCCATCCAATAAATTCAGGAAATGTTTAAGTTCCAGTTTCAGGTGACCTTGTCGGTGTTTGCTCTCCTCAACTTCTTTTCTCAGTGCTCTCACTTTATCTTCTAGTTCTTGGTTACTCTGCTCAGCATCCTGCAAAATACATAAGAAAACTGCATAAAAAAAAGACAACCTATCCGCAATAAAGAAGTGCTAGAGCATGCAGTAGTTCACTTGTTACATAGAACACGTTTCCCAAGCTGTCCAGATAAAAGTAACCTCTAGCCCATTTTTAGTCTTCGATTGAGACTGGTTAGAATGCCTGTATATTGGTTATTCATTTGTTCCCAGTGGGGAAAAAAAAAATCAGGATTTATACAGTGGCAACAGTTTGCACAGTGGTTTACAAAATCAAAGGACAGTCCAGGGTCAGTACAGTTACAATACAACTCAAGAGAAAAAGGTTAGGAGGACCCTGCTAGTGTGAGCTTACAAACTAAAAAGGGAGATGCATGTTATACAAAAGGTAATAACTGTGTGGAGATGAGTTGTATGAAAAAGTAAAATATGAGTTGTTAGGTTGAGGAGGGATAGGCTTTCCATAAGTGATGAGTTTTCAGTGATTGCCTAAAGGCAGGGAGAGTAATAGATAGCTGTACAGATAGGGGTAGGAACTTCCAGAGGTCCTTGGCACGAGCATGAAAGGAGGATACATTGGAGCTAGACAGCGGGAAGTCTTCGGAAGAGCAAAAAGGACAGTTTGGGTGATATTTTGAGACAAGGTCAGTTGGGGCAGAGTTGAGGATGGCTTTGTATGTTGTTGTTAGATTCCACTTAATCTCTTTAATGACAATACTGCAATAAAAACCCAACATACATGTAGAAAACTTCTAATAATAGCTTACAAGAGTAAGGTTGAGTTTACATTCCTGCTGCAGTGCATTGCGTTAGTGTGTATTTCCAGGGGCATATCTGCCGCGAGGCAAACAAGGCGTTTGCCTGGAGCGGCAGATTCGCTGAGAGCGGCACCCCGAGTGTTACTCACCTGGATAGGATGACACGGACGTCGGCCTTGAGAGTGGACGGTGAGTCTGTAAGCCCGGGGGAGGGGTGCTGTCGGAGAAGCGCAGGGTCAGACCGGGGGGGTTTGCTATCGTCCGCGAAGCGGCGAGTCAGTCCGGGGGGCGAGTCAGTTCGGGGTGCTGTCGGAGAGAAGCGCAGGGTCAGTCCGGGGGGGGGGGCGGCGGCGGCGTTGCTGCCTTGCCTAGGGAAGCACCAAAGTTAAATACACCGCTGTGTATTGCATTAAGGTGGTCTATTCAAGTGAATGGGCTAACAATAAACCAAAATGTCCAAGAAAATCAACTTGCAGCATTTCTGGCAATGTAGCACACTACAACTCACGGTAGTTTATCACTGTGCATTGCGGTGCACTGCAAAGCATGTGGATTGGAGCTGCATTGTCTTAGTGTGTTGGGGGTGGCATTAAAAATTAATGGCACCACAATGCGTCAGCACACGTAACATGTGTTAAGGTGTGTTTCAGGAAATGCGTGCATTAGCATACACATTATCGCAAAGCATCGCAATAGAAAAGTGTCAACCCAGCCTAAATCTAAGGACATCACTAATGATGCCATATCAATGATGCCACAGGAGCAGGAGGAAAAGGATTCTGAGAAATCCGGTCTATAAACTAAAAACTGTTGCTAGTGCACATGGAAGTTTACACATGGACGAAATTCAGTACTGTAGCAAATCTTCTCTAACACTGAGGGTTCTGCAAAGATTGGTGTAGTGGTATGCCACAGACTTCCTTCTGAAAATTATTTTTTTCCCTGACCCAGAACTAAATATTCAACTCCAAAGTGCCGACTTTACTTGTTAAAATCTTGTTCCAGTGACTCAAAGTTCCAGCATGACAACCAGGTAGCAAACATTTTAGGAAGGCAGTCATAGATTGCAACCTACACATTTTTTTATGGCCTTCCTTCAATATTTGTCTTTATGGTAAGTGCAGAGATATCTAGCAAATTATGGAAAGCCTTTTAGGCATGTAATTGGTATAATACGGACCATGGCAATATGTCCCTTTTCTATGTGAGCTGGGGGTATACAAAGTCAACTTTGTGTGAAGATACCACCTGGACATGCAATCCTATTCAGTCCAGCATACCCCAGGCAAAGCTACACCTTTGGTCTATGTAGTGGATGGCTAGCCAATTAATTTAAAACATTAAGTCCAATTTTAACTTTTAGAGCGGAGCTTCCAAAAACTAGTCTTACCAGAGTTGTAAGTTACCTAAAAAGAAGAGACCAGTAACTACATACTGCACAACACTGGCTGTTTATAGCAAAAAAAACATACTGTTAGGGAAGGAATCAGTTCGCGAATAGTATGGCGCGCAGCTCCAAAACTTTTTTTAAATATAAATTCTTTATTTATGAATCCAAAACTTTATTAAAGTAATTGACATAAATACTTCAATAAAGTTCTGGAACTTGCAGCTGTGTGGCAGATTATTAGCAAACTTGTTTTCTCTTGGACAGGAGCCTTGCCAAACACCAGCATTTTCTAAGAGATCCAGTGATGAGGAGGTTCAGCAAGTACACAGTTTACCAAATACTGTTAAAGGCTGCAAAACATGCAAACAGTAATACTAAGAGAAGCCACTACAATACAGAACATGTCCTGGGACTCTGGCAACCTTTCATGGGTCCTGTAGCAGTTTCCAACATATCTGGTTTTTGACTTTGTCCAGGAGAAAGTCAAAACTTGACATTGTATGTGATTAGCGTTTGTCTCTATGATGTGCACCGGGCTGCCTCTTGTATTATGTTTAGCGGAAGCCCTTGGCATTTGCATATAAACCGACTGAGAAATGGAGAGTGTAATTTGTGCAGCATGACAATCCCCTGAAAGAGCTCCACTGGGGAGCCAATCTCCCGAGATGCCCTGATTTCTCTGCACATATCAGCAATTTATCTTGTGCCAGTTTATTGCCAGAAGCACAATTAAGGAGATCGTTCTTTGCCAAGCTGTAAACTATTTCTGCGCAATTTTAGATGATAAACAAATATTGTTCTAGCAGATCCTCCACTGCATGATGTAATCTGTCATTGCTCCAGTATGGCAATAATTACAACCAATAAATCCCATGCACACAAGATGTGAAAGCAAAATTAATTTTAGCACAGCACAAGTGAGTCTTAATATTTCCTTAATAATGAAAATGGGTCTGTATTTTATAGCCGAGTGTCAAAAACAAGTGTAATACTGAACAAAGCAAATACATGATTCAAATAATCTATTTTCAACATTATAGAATGTGCTTAGATTATGTTAGTAGACACTCCAAACATCAATAGGGTATTGTTTGCCATCGGTCTACTGGTTATTATTTTGTGGAGTGCCAGAATGCCAATACTGCTGCATCTATCATTAGTGGCATAAAATAAACCACACCCCCAGCACAACTAAACTCCACCTTCTTCAATCACTGCAATCTGTACTGAATGGCAAATACAACATTGTTCTGACCCACAGTGGACTGCCTGCCATTTCTGTGGTCACAAATGTCATTTTTACTACCAATACTCCAGAGGTTTGGGAGTATGCAAGCAAAGAATGCATTGAAGATTAACTCCTGACAATACATTTCCATTTAAATGTACTCCTTAAAAACCACATTAGGGTATACTGTATATCTACTTTGTGTGCACAAAATGCTTTTTTATACCCAGTTATTACCTTAAAGGAAAACTACGAGGTGAGTGATTTACAACCATCTTCATAGTTAGAGCTGACGGGTGACATTGAAACTGTCACACATCGGCTCTATAGATCAGGAAGTGAGCGAACACATGCCGTCGCTCGCTCACTTCCCAATCATCTCTCTGCAGGGAGCGGTGATTGTCACTCACCGCTCCCTGCAGTGATTCTGCCCCTCTCCGATCCTCCAGCGCTGACTGGAGGGACGGGCAGAGGAGGGGGTGGGCAAAGCTGGCTCTGTCTCTAGATAGGCAAAGCCCGCTGACGATCAGCCAGCTGGGTGGATCGACAGTATTGTCGGGATCTGTCCCGGCTGCGGCGCTCTCAGTATATAACGAGCAATAGCTTGCTATATACTGAGCTTTGGGCCAGGGGAGGACGTTAGCACAAGTCCTCTCATGACCCTAAAGAGAACTATGGGTAAAAAAGTTTACCCCATTGTTCTCTTTTAGAAAGTAGCAGTGACATCAATTACTGTGGTGTACCGTGCAGAGAGAACTATGGTAGAGGCCACTACAGGCTGGCTGCAGAAATCTACAGGAAGGGGCAGATACAAGACCAGCCACCCTGCACAAGGAGAGAGCAGCAGTGACTGGTCTTTATTAGAGGAACTTTCTCACACTGGATTACTGTGTAGATCTGGCAGGAATACACAAATACACCAAGATTCAAGTAAGAATACACATGACTTGTATTTAGACAGAATTTGCCAATCATGGATTTCAGCTTTCACACTTTTCATCAGAAATTAAGAAAAAAAAAGTGCTACATACAGGCTTCTTTTTTCCCCCAGTAGTTCTTCAACACATTCATGGAGCAGTGCAGTGTTATCATGACCTCACATTCAGGCCAACAGCTAGGCTGCTATTTAAGCAATGTGGGAGCACAGGGGGCACATGTTTGTTCGCAATTATGTACAAGGTTAAAGGGCGTTCTGCTTTCAGCCTACAATCCTTTTTAGAATTGGTCTGTCGTCTGTGTTCTGGACAGAAAAGAAATGTGTGAGCATTAATTGCTTTCAGCCTTTGATCATAATGGGGCATCTGTCCAAGGAAGTGTGTCATCGTATCTCCTGATAATTGTTTGACTGACCATGCTATTTGGAATTGCTGCTGCGGTCCAATTAATTTGTTGTTATATCAGCTACTGTGTCTGACACAATCGGTGATCACTATATTACCTTATAACAATATGTCTGTGCTGTTTTACTACACGATCACATTACACTAGAAATAAATATCACTTACTATCTGTAATTCAAGGTAGACTAATCTGATTACATCCTTTACCAAACCACTAAGTTTAGATGTTGGATCTCTCTTAACCCCTTCGTGACGGGAGACGTACACTGTACGTCCAGCCACAAAGGGACCAAATGACT